AACGAAATGCAAGGAACGATTTACTCGTCTTATCTGTTTATCTTATTACCTATATCTAATCAATCACATACGACTTTTGTCACTATGTGTAAACCTTTTTCTTTTTATTAAAAACTTGCACAACTACAGAGATACTATCACGTTTATCAAATATCAATAATAGATAAAATGCACGGTAATAAGTTAATTAATTGCAGAATAATTTCATTCGTGCAATACACAACCATCTCAATATTTCCATGTGATAGACGTGGAAGACATGTTGACATAAAAATTCTTTTACATGCTTCAAGATGTCACTTACATAAATCATTGTAAAAGGAATGGAGACGTAATATATGTACATTCACGGAAAACAATTGTAAATCAAGATTTGGTCCAATTGTTTGAAATGGAGGGTCCAACCAGAAAGGGAAGCCCTTTCGCATCGTTGAATTGCAAATAGCGCAAAAATGATGACCAGGAAGACGGAAGGGTCCGTAACCCTTTTGGTGCAAACGGGATGTCACGTTATCTTATGCAAATACATACGCATTAAAAATGGGATAAGGTACCAGCTTGTACGATACTGTTTCACAAGTATTAACAGCGAATTATGTGGGTGTAATCTAATATTTTCGTATAATCGTATTAACTGAAGTATAATATTCACTTTAACACAGTATTTATTAAGATCTTATGTTACAAGTGTCACATTATCGTACACTTTAAGATAAGGAAGCTTCTCCTAATAGTATGACATTAATTATATTTAAAAAAAATCGAACCTCATCTTTCGGATCTCATATCCATGCTTAATTCGTTCCAATGAACCCGATGAGCAAAGACAAAGGAGATGAGGACTCGTCTGATCGTTAGTTCGATAGCTGAGCCTCCTTTAAGATATTAATTCGTTCAAATCTCGAAGAAATGATCAGGTTTCTAAAGAGAAATTGTTTTGTAACGTCTTTATTACTGATCGCAGGTTTCATTGAAATAGCGATCGGTTCATGTCCATCTCGATGGACAAGAACAAGTCGGTCTATATTCTCGAATTTCTCGAGGGAATAAATCGCGCGCGGGCATAAAATGCCGACTGCTATTAGCGCAATTTACCATTCCCGGCACCATGTTCGCTCTTAAAATAGAACCTACCATTCGCTAAAAAGATGATTACGCCACGGCGAACAGAACCGTAGCCATAGCATCGGAACTTTCAAGGCGAGCCTTGCGCTGAACGATGCATGCCACGTGCTACGAAGGAATGCGCCAGACTCGATAGCTTCCAAACTTTTCATATAAGCCGATGCATCGTAAATAATAAAAACTGAGTGAAGGTACATACAGAATGATTTAAAAGAAATGAACAATGATTGCCCGTGCCCTCATTCTATTTTTTTATTTCATATTAGTTGATGAAAATTCGCAGAATTCGCTTTCGATTCTTTGGAGGTCGCAAAAGTATTTTAGTAGATGCATAAAAACTGGCAGAAACAAATGTCTACGAGTCTAGAAGAATACTACTTCACGCTCCATTTACGAAAACTTTCATATAGCTATTAGCATCTATTATTATCTTTCTTGCTGTCAATCTCTTCAGCTTATTTCACAGCGAAAGAGTAAACAGGTAGAGTTTGAGGATAAACAATAAAAAATAAATTCATGGTTTAACACAACTTTTGTCTACTTGCAAATATTTTAGTCATATCCACATCGCTGTTCCAAGTAATAAGAAGGGAAATAAGAAAGGAAGAATGTAAGAAGGGAAGAAAAATCGATGATTTCCAGGGTTGGAGCTCGTTTTTGTTGATCGAGTTTACACGCATAGAAGGCATAGCACGTGACTCCTATGGGGAATACCGGAGCACAGAACTCGCCATATCGGGATAAACTGGCTCTCGGATCTCATAAGCAAGAAACGCCACTTGTCGTCTCTTTATCAGAGAAATAAAGTACCACGAAGGAACTTGGAATGTTTATCACACGCTGCTGGAATCGAAATGAGTACCATAGCATGTAAAAGAATTAAAACTAGATCACAAATGGATGAAACATTTAAAAAATCGTGTCGACGACTTATGAGATAATTGAAGAAATTAGGAAATTAACAATACTTTAATCACTTCAAAGTAGTTCTAATGAAATTAAGAATCAGATTTTAATGATGTTTGATATAC